CACTACAAGTGGACCCTCTACTTATGGAATTAAACCGTATTGGAACGGTGGCTGAATGTCGAAAAGTCTGTAGATCGAATCTCCATTGACCTACAATGCATTGAAAACCGATTAATCCCATAACCAGCCGTTTTTGTTCCATTTTTGTTCCATTTTGGTTTTTTGTTGTTGTTTTTTGTCTGTAGGTTGATTCTCCAGCTGCAAGTCGAACCAAAATTTTGCAGCCAGAGAAGTCTGTAACTCAAAAAGTCTGTAAGTCGAGCCGTCTGTAAGTCGAGGGTCCACTGTATTTGGTACTGGTTAAGCCTCATCTTGATTGTTGTGTCCAGTTCTGGACACCGAACTTTAAGAATGATGCTAACAAGCTGGAACAGGTTCAGAGGAGGGCAACTAGGATGATCAGAGGAATAGAAACTAAGCCCTATGAGAAAACAGTTAACGAACCGGGCATGTTTGACGTTGAGAAAAGAAGTTTATGGGGAGATATGGCAGCACTTTTTAAATACTGGAAAGGTAGTCATACAGAGGAGGGGCAGGATCTGTTTTCCATCACCCCAGAGTACAAAATGTGTAATAATGGGCTCAAGTTACAGGAAGCCAGATTTCAGCTGAATATCAGGAAAAACTATTAGAGGAGTATGACAATGGGGCCAATTACCTTGAGAGGAGGTGAGCGCTCTATTGCTGGAGGCACACAGAGAAAATCAGACAACCATCTGTCAGATTTGCTTTGATTTTGATTCCTGCATTGAGCAGGAAGTTGGACTTGATAGCCTCATTACCGCCTTCCAACTCCATTATTCTATTATTCTATACTTAAATTGAGCTGCTTGCCGTTCTTCTTACAGCTTTGCGGGGTGGTACTGTTCAAAGAACTGCATTAACAGGCAATGAGACAGGCTTTTTCCTTTCTCATCAATCAGCTTCTGACTCGGTGCCAGTTACATTGTTAAAAAAATAAAAACAAACAGTAGTAGAGATGGGCATGAACTGCAGTTCGGCAGTTCAGCCCAGTTTGGTGCTGCCCTGCACAAGTCTTCTGTGCTCACCCATTCCACGGCTGAAGTGCACTTCCCTCCCCGCCTCTTCAGCGCAACTGCTCACTCACTGATATAATAAAAAAATAAACAAATTATCATTGCAAAATGAAAAACTGCAGATGGGCACCATGTCTTTAATGACAAATCGGCTACTGAGTATTTCTTTGTTTTAAATAAGGATAAAGCTGTTCGCCGAATTGTGAAGATTCGGTATTCCTCCCTCCCGCTTGTTCAAATAAACCAGGAGTCTGTTTTAATTCAAAATCCAAACTGGTGTTTATTTCTTTTTGTAAAGGAAGAATTTCTTTAAACGTTGCATGTCTTAACTTCTCTTGCGACACCAACCAAGGGTAAACACCGTTCCGATTCAAACAGGTTCAAAGATTTAACGTCCCAGGGTCCAGCTAGAACTGGGTCATAGTCTGGTACTTCAGTTTCCACCCCCTCTTCTCTTAATAAGGGGGAGGTCTCGTCATCCTTGTCCCCTCCCCATACCAGCTCTCTCTCACCCGTAAGTTCTCTCCACGGTTCCGGAGGTACATCATCCTCTGTGCCTCCCTGGCTCGCCATGCCCAATGTTCTTCTGTTTCTCTCGCCACGGCTTCTTTCTCTTCCCTCAAACGCCTCCTCCACTCCTTCGCCTCAGACTCTCCCCAATAAGATGGGCGCTGGGGAAGTCCTCTCCTACAATAGTCTGCCTCCTCTCTGGGTACTTTTACCCTTTCCCATTTCCCAGTCCATGGGTCTTCCACCCAAATGAGTTCCCAACCACCCGGGATGTTATCGTCCTCCCTATTTATAACCCCCATTCCCGCCTCTGCCATGTACCTCCCCCTTTCTCCTCTTCCCGCCAATTCTTCTTCGGTCTGGGTAGCTATAGTTAGACCCCGCAGGCTTGTCTCCAGCTCCCAGGTATCAGTTCCCTGGTGTATTATTTTGGCGGGTGTTGGTGGCAGAGTAGTCTGTACCTCTCTGGAGGTTCTGCTGGAGGACGGCACCCCGACGAGAGCCCCTATGCTCTCTTCTCGTTTATCACACTGATGTCTTGAAATTATCTCCGTGTTAAAGGAGTACAACGTTAAAAGGCACTTTGAAGCGTGTCATAAGAGCTTCTCAATAGATCAAGGAGAGGTGAGAGTGAAAATGGTAAATTCTCTTTAAAAAATAAATGTTTTTGTAGCACGTCGAGGAGAACCTGTTGACTGTGAGGGCCAGCCATCACGTTGCTAAATGTATTGCTGAGAGTGGGAGGCCATTCACTGATAGTGCATTAGCTAAAAATAGTGCATGGCTAAAGTAATAGAGAACATGTGTCCTGTTAAGTTATGTTGTGTTAGTTGCGTCAGTTTATCTGCATCTACAATCACCAGACGTGTTGAAGAACTAGCAGAAGAGCTGCATATGTCACTGAAGGCAATTTTTAGTTTTTCCCTCCTTTGACATAAGATAAGAGCAATGACATTATAGACACTGCTCAGATACTAATATTTATCAGAGGGATAGATTCCAACTTCAGAATGACAGAAGAATTGTTTGTACTGCAGAGTTTGAAAAGCACAACTGCAGAAAACATATTCTTGAAGGTGAGTGAATCAGTACAAAATCTTGGTCTGATTTGGGACTGACTGAAAAGCATCTCAACTGAGAGTGCAAGAAATATGGTGGGAAGTAAAACCGCTATCATTGCAAGAATCAATGAAGAGACATTGAAATTAAACAGTACACTTTTCATGCAATTTCACTGCATCATCAGTCAGTAAGTAAGATTCTTCAGTAGGAATGTGTGATGCTATTGTTGTATCTAGCATTACAGTAATTACTCCAGGTATCAAGGCCTTACTCATTGTCACTTTCAAAATTTTCTCTCAGAGATAAAGGCAGAATATGGAGATGTATTGTACCAGGCAGAAGTCAGGGGGCCTAGCAGGGGCAAATTCCTCAAATGTTTTTTTCAGTCTCCATCAAGAAGTTGATGCCTTTTTCAATGAGAAATGAAAAGGTCAAGAAATACTTTCTGATCCTGGATAGATTTTTGACTTAGCTTTTTAAACTGATATCACAGAACATCTGAACACAATGAATCTAAGGTTGCAGAGAAAAGAAAAGCTTGTGTGTGAGGCATGTATTCTGAATTGAAAACTTTTGAAGCAAAACTAAACATTTTTGTGAAGCAAGTCTATGAAAATAACTTTTCAAATTTATCATGCTGCGATGAACTAAAATTTGAGAAGATTGGGAATTTACAGTTCAATGTACTGGACCAATTTTAGGTGGAATGCCATAATAGATTCAGTCACTGCTATAAGCATGGAAGTGAAATAAAAATGTTTCAGAATCTTTTTGAAGGAGCACCAGAAGATGCAAGTAACTTTTTTCAGATGGAACTAATTGATTTTCAAGCCAGTGATAATCTCAGAGAGGTTTACAAAGAAAATAGTCTGTTAGATTTTTATTCTGGTTTACCTGTATATTTATTAACCTCAAGACATTTGTTGCAGGCATGCTCAGTCTTTGGCATCACATACATCTGTAAACAAGCTTTTTCCAAAATGAAAATTGTGAAATTCAAGTGTAGATCAAGACTTACAGATGAATACTTTACATGACATTTTAAGGGTGTCTGTCATAAACCTTTACTTGGACATTAATGCCTTGGGTAACAGAAAACAGACACAAAAATCACACTCACTAGGTAAGCGTGTGTACTTAGATGAAAGGATTCCACAGTAAAATATTGTTCCAAAATGGAATGCATTCAAATTAACATTTCTTCATTGACTCGGAATGTTTACTTTTGATTTAAATCAGTAGGTTAATAATTTTGTTACATTTTGATTTAAGATGTGGCCGACTTTAGACAATGGGCTAATGTGGCCACCATGTCTCAGAAGTGTAGACTATTACAGCACTCATAGGTTTCTATCTTTCTGTTCAAGGGCACTGAAGGAAAAGCACAACAGGATGTGCTAAGCCATTTCAGGGGCTCTTCTGATAACACATATTCTTTCTTCCCATGGCAGAAAGCAGCCTAGGTTTTTCTCCAGAAGTGCAAGACTACAGTTCCTATCACTATAGATGTTGTAGGCAAAACTTGTGAAACTGAACCGGTCATATACTCTGGGCACATCTTAAGAAGACAAGATTCTCTGGAGAAGACAATCATATTAGCAAAAGTTGAAGGCAGCAGGAAAAGAGGGAGGCCAAATATGAGATGGATCGACTTACCCACAACCTTGAGCTTGCAGGAGCTGAACATTTAGGAGCTCACACATTCATAGAGTCACCTATGTTGGAGGTGACCTGATGGATCATAACAACAACAGAAGGTGCTTTCATTAGTAGACCTGTCTAGGTCTTGCAAAGCAAAGGCCGTAGTGCCTCCCGCCCCCCCATTACTGGTGTTATCCAACTATGTTTACGAATTAATGGTCCCATTAGCAGAAGGGAATTGCAGCTTCCACTGGCATTGCGCCGGGAGTGAAATTCTTAAAGGGTGGCTGTTGGACAGCCGCAGGAATGGGAATTGACCCTAGTAGGGGATCTTTGATAGACAACTGCTGTGAGGCTCCATGCTAACTCGGATTGAAATCCTGTTGCTTATTGTAGCAAGTAGCAACCAGAGAAGGCGCGTGTGAATGCATCAGGGACACTCAGGGAGAAGTTGACTCAGCAAAGCCTCATGGATTCAATGGGCCTCCTCTAGCTAGCGCACTCCACCAACAGGCCTTCAGCTACTTAGTAGAAAGAAGCAAGGGCAAACCACGTCCGCCGAGTTTATCTCTGGAAAACCCGGCCGTGCCTATCATGCCTACGTCTGTCCCTCTTGCGAAATTGTCTCTAATGGAGACGGAGACATAAACGCGCCTCTCTACAATGTTTTTAGCTCTATGGGTGTAGGGGGAGGAGGAAGAGAGAGAGAGAGAGAGAGCGAGCGAGAGAGCACTTCCGGGTCAAATCGCCGTGTTTCTCGCGCCTGCGCGGTAGGAGGGCATTCCCGGGTCGCTTGGTCCTTCAAGATGGATTCGCGTCCTACCCCCGTCCCGGGCACCACTTACCGTCCGGCGCCTTTGGCCTCTTTGCCGGAGACGTTGGATCTGAACTACTACCAATGGACGCCGGAGAGGAAGCTCCTCGAGGCTAAGCGCCTCGCCATCCGCGCCCGCCTCAAGCGCGAATACCTGCTGAAGCTCAACGACCCCAACCGGATCGCCATGATCGTGAGTGGCGTCCCGGGCAGAGCGGAGGGAGGGAGGTGGGTGGGTGGGGAGGAGAGCCCGGCCACCCCCTGGCCTCTAAAACCAGGGTGCCAGCCTAAAACCAGGCCGTTGGCACGATGGGCAGGCAGGCCCCTCGTTCCATGCTCGTAACTGAAGGGTCCTAGGACGAGTTCCTAGTATTTACCTGTCTCTAACACATTGATCAATCAGCCAGGTACAGAGAGATCCAATAGTTATTTGTTTATTTTCAGCAGAAATCAAGCAGATAAGCAGAGAGAGAGAGAGAGAGAGGGAAATTGCGTCTGACCAACAGTGGCCTTGAAACCTTTGGGACTTTAACATCAGCATATAAATTTGGACACATAGCCTGAAGACTGTGAATTATCAACAAAGGCTTGCTCTGTGTTTTGTTTTGTTGTTCTTTTTTTCATGGCCCAATAAAGATATCCTGCATTTCTATTGTAATGACAGAAGTGGCAAAAATTTGCTGTTCTCTTTCTCTGTTTTAGCAAGACCCTGCTGTCGTTCGTTGGAATAATGCCAGGATCTACGGTCCCACACAGCACTCCAGTGCCAAACCAAAAGCATCCCTGATGGGAGTTATTTTTGCTTTAGGCCCCTTTGTTTTGTCGTATTACGCAATTAAGACGAGCAGGGTAAGGTTATAAATATATAATCATTGTATGGTCGTATCTAGTGATTGATTTTATTGTTCTTTAAAAATATGATTGATCAAGCACAATACAGTATCATTTTAGTTTAAGTAGCAGGGTGCAACAAATGTATAAAGTGCACTTGATGCTGCTGTTGCATCTCCATTTGCTGCATATCTGCATTATCTTTCTTCCAAGGATCTTGAATGCAAATCCACTTTTTGCCCCAATTCCCAATTCCGGATGGTTGAAGAGATGGTGGATTCATGACCACTGAGCAGCATTGGGTTGAACTGTGCAGGTGTTCTGAAGCACAAGCACAAGGTTTTTGTCTGTTCTTCCAAGCACAAAAAAAACCCTTTTTTCATATTTACTTTTGTAAATATATAGGGACTCAACTATTGGCAGTTCTTCAGAATTCTTTACTATCACATATGGTGTCCCAAATCTATCTATTTGTTTTCTGGGCAAACATTTTAGTTTTTTAGTGCCATCTGTATCTGATACAAGAATGATTTCATTATTTATTATCACCAGTTGTTCTATTAACGTTGCTTTGTGGCTTACTGCAAGCTGCCTTGGCATTTTTCTGTTGTATGTTGGTGTAAATGTTCTGAACATTTATGGTAAGTTCTATTACTTGGGATTTCTTCCAAGTAAAGGTTTTAGGTTAACTCTTGGTTGCCTTTGAAGATTGCTTTTAGTGTATTTCTTTCTTTTTCTCGGGAAACTGATTTTTTAAAACCATTTTTGTTCCTGTACAGGAGCGTAAAGAGAACCTCATACGAGAAGGCAAATATGATCGGCCATACCATTATATTTACTAAACCTCTAACAAGCGGAATGCTGCTTCCCTCTTTTTCTGTAAGCATCAAATCTCTTTCTGAATAAATCATATTGATCTGAAGCTGGTTCACCATTCCTGCATTTGAAGGCTAACATCAATAATTTCATTTGTGTTGAAATTAGGTGTATTCAGTACATAATGGCTGAAATTCTGTTGTGCAATTCCTCATGACAGAACTCCATAGGATATAAATAGTGATGATGTCAAATTGCTGTTTGCAGTCCTGATCCACAGATGGATTTTCAGTGGCAATTTTCCCATATTAAAGGCTCCCCTCCCCACCCAGAGGTTCCCAAAGTCCCCCCCCCCCCCGTCAAAAGCTTTAGGTTATGAACCTGAAGGGGGGAGAGATTAAGTTTTAAATTACACTAAAATAAAGATTAATGTTGCAGGGTGATGATTTCATCACCGTTTATGCATGGGAGTTTTGACAACTGTAGAGAAAGTGAAGGAGGAAAGCATTTTCCTCGGAAGAAAGTGAAGGCGAAAGCAGGAATCATCAAAGCACTTTGATCCCTGCCTTCCCCCTCCACTTCTTTGTGAAGAAAGTAAAGGGGGAAAGCATTGATCCCTCCCCCCTCCTTACTTCTGTGTATAAGACAACCCTCAATTTTAAATTAAATATTTTAGACAAAAGTATTTTCTTATACATGGAAAAATACAGTACTTATTGAGGTGTATTAAAACTGGGAAATTGTCACTCTTGAGACACAGCTGTTTGCAAAAGCAGTATGGGAGGCTTTACACCTTGGTGTCAAAAGGTCTCGGTAAGGAATTAATACTGCTCTGTTGCATCGTGAATCTCACTGAATACCCATTGCTTTCCCTGTGTTGGATCTGCTGTATTATTTGTTGTACATCTGCTGCTCGCAGTGTGAATGCTTGTGAATGCACAAGGCAGAGATTACCCTCATTGGTTTTAACAAATTTTATTCTTATACAGTAAGGTACTAGATCTCTCCTTCTGCTAACTCTGAGAAAGCTCCACCACTCACACATTGGAGCATTGCATGTGGAGAGTGGAATAGTTAAGATTCTGCCTATGCACACAATTTAGTTTAGTACCACATCTGAATGTCATTCATTTATGAAAAATATTATCAGACCAGAATAATAATCAAATAATCATGTGCTGTCAGGTCAGTTCTGACTTGCAATGACCCTCTCCAGAATACTCACAGATGGTTTACTCTTCCCTTCTTCTGGGGACATCCTGGGATTGTGCAGCCTGCCTAAGGCCACACTGGCTGCCTCTTCTCCCAGGAGGCACAGTGGGGAATCAAACTCCCAACCTCTGACTCCACAACTCAGTCCCTAATCTGCTGAGCTATCCAGCCAGCTAGACTACATGAAGGGATCGTAAATATGAAGCGTAATTCCCAAACTTAATTTCAGAGTTGCATCTGTGCAAGAGGTTACAGAATTGCAGGGCTTCTCATTTTCACCTTTCTAACTTGTGTCCAGTCCTTCATCCTGAGGGAGAAATTTTAGAAATTCAAATGTACCCATTGAAGACTTACTGTGTCCCAAGCAGAAATAAATTCAGCAAAAAAATTTAGAACTCTTGGGTAACCTTATATGAAATTGAAAAAATCATAAATATGATACCTGTTATAAGGTCCTCAGAAGAGAAATTGATCTGGAATAAATATTTTTCCTCAAAACTTTACAGACTAAGTGGGTTTTCCCCCCAAATGGAATACAAATCTCTGGTAGCCAGATTGGAGAAAGATTCCTAATCATCCGGGTTTCTGGTTTCGAGTCCTTCAAATTCTTCACTTGATTGACAAGTTATTAAAATATATGCCAGAAGACTAACTCCATTCAAACAGCTAATATAGAAAAGTATCAGTGTCACTGATAAATAAAATACTATTGGATATCAACAATTACTCAACATCAGGCTGAAACCGTTCAAGTCCATCAAACCGGCAAATGTTAGGGCAACTGCTCTTAAAATTATTCACTAATGAAACGAACCCTCTAAAATTGACATGTATTACCAAGGAATCCACTAAGCTGTATTGGAGGAGATGTGGCGAGGTGAGCATTTTTTAAACACATGCAGTGATCATGTCCCCAAATCAAAACCACCTGGGACAACATGCTGGAAGAAATCTCTCCAGTATTACAAACCAACAAATCAGCCCCAATCCACTGCTACTTAAAGACCTGATAATCTTTTTGTTGGGGGGCAGCTAGGCAGATGCTGGCCAGACAATGGAAAGATGGGAAGGTCCCAGCTATGAACTGTTGGTTTAGATGGGTACAGGAATATCACTCAGAGAAATTAACTCAAGAAGTTCATCAGGCAAGAGAACATAAAAATAAAAGTGATTGGTGTGACTTGGTTTTCTTTTATTTCATTTATTAAACAAAAGGTGATGAAAATGTAAGACTTCTGACCACACACTCTAACCTTTTAGGTTAAGCAATACCATTAATTTGTAATCTATGCATTGCAGTAACTTGGTTAATTTTTTCCACATATATTAGCAAGGGGACACTGTTCTGATATTATTCTTTTGTTCAGTTTTTGGTACAAGCTGTGAAAGTCTTTGTTCCATGGAAAAATTATGATCATTGTACTGTAACTGTATAAAATGAAGAATTTAAAAAACTGATTGTAAGATCTCATGGCATAATTGCTGAGCATCTCATGGGTAAATTCAATTTTAATTTGCCAAGGGATGGATGTCACTGATCAGCATGTTTCGGTTCAAGGATGGATGTTGAGCCCTTTCAAATCTTACAGTGTTCTAAACCATGCAGAGAACATTGCTTATTGGGTCATCTAGAAATGTAGTAAATAAATAACTGGGGTGACTTCTAGAACTGCAGCCTGAAGGATGCTCAAACATTGATTCTGTTGACTTATGAAACTGAATTGGAAAGCATGACCAGATGTGTTCAGGAGATGGAAAATTATCCATGCAAGGAGATACTGTGGGGCCATGCTTACAAAAGCTCTCTTTTGAGCCTGGAAAATCGCAACAGATATTTCTGGTTGCTAATTTTGTATTTCTGGTCAAGATAATCCGAGGCTCTCCAGGATCTCTTGGACAAGACTGATTAGCCAAAACCTTGTTGGGATTTTATGCCAAAAAGTTGGTAAGATCGCCTTCAGAAACAGACCTTTGTAATCTAATGTGGTATCAAGGACATGAGACAGAGGGTATTAATCATTACTGTTTTTTCTCCTCAGATAAGATCTCCTGGTGCCTGCTTGTTATGTTTTCCACCGTATGCTTTTTTGTAATCTCCCAAGACCTCCTAATTTATAACCCTTTTTGGAATTCATTTTATGTTCCTTTAATCTGCCATTTGGGACTGTCAGCCTTTAATAATGTCTGATTTTAAAATTATTTCATTTATATATGTATTTTTAAAGCTGCTCTAAAGTTTGTAAACTGTAGGGGTTTTTAAAGATTAAAAGTTGTAACAGTGCAACATCTGGCTGGCTGACCTGCACAGTTCGTAGATCAAGGATGGGGAAACTTTGCCCATCCAGATGTTCTGGGCCATAATTCCTACAATTTTTTCCTTGCTGATGCTAGATGGGGTGGATGAGGGTGTAGACTATAGAACATCTGGAAAACCAGTGGTTCCCCACACTTAGTGTAGAGCATAGTCAAGCTCTCTAATGAATTTAACGTAGTCCCAAGTTCAAAACTGAAAATTGACATCTGAGATATACTTTTAATTGTTAAACATCTTTTCTCCCTCCCACATTACTGTGGCTACACAAACTACTTGGTTCCCAGGACTGAGGAATTGTAGAATCTACAGCTCTGGTACCATCAGATGCCGAGTAAGCCGATGAAAAAGCGGGCAGAGTTCCAGTACCTTTAATATTTACTTTGAAGAGGAAATTTTAACACATGGAGCTTTTAATGCAAGCCACACCTGCTGAAATACCTTCTTCCCTACAACTACTGAAGGTACAGAAATCCCATCTTGTTTTTAATCTGGTCACCCTAATCACAAGATTTGTAGTGGCAAGGAGTTGAGTATCAGTCTTTATTTGAGAAAACATCCCGTAAAGGATGACAAGTAGTTTTGTGCTCGTTGGTACTCATTAAGTTTATCTGAGGAGTACAACTCCTAATTAATTAACATTTGCATGGCTCTTGAATTATGAACATTTGGAGTCCTTCCCCATTCATTAAATTACAGCATAATTCAAATCATAGACATTTCTGCACTCATCTTTAAAATGTTGTGCCACATGATTCTATAGGCAACAAAAAATAATTAAGACCCGACCCAAAAAGATTTTTTTGCATTGCCTATATTTTAAACCACAGCACCTCAAATACATCTTCCAGATTTGGTAGAAATCTGTGCAGTCATGTAAAGGAAAGATATTGGGATGCCCCAAGGGCCCCAAAGTTATTTTTGCAAATGACACATAAACAAATTGCAGGTTAGTCCATTCCGAACAAATCTTCCAAATTATGTGAAAATCCATCCACCTGTTTATGAGAAAGTACCATGGGTGCCCCCTGGGGTCCTCAAAGTGATTTTCATGTACATTTTACATCACTGCACTAAAATACTTTGAATTTAGTGAAGAATTTATAACCCTTTTTGGGGGTTGAATATGACTGAGGTATTCAAGAAAAAAATGAGGTGGAGGTGGGGTGAGACTGAATTTCATATCCCAAATACTCTCCACATTTGCTGAAAATCCAGCCAGCCATTTTCATGTGACTGTGTAACAAAATAACACAGAGAAAAATACTTTGGTTTATGTAGATTTTGCTGTTACTGTACCAGTCACTCTTTCTGTTACATAGTTATATGTGCTAGCAGTCAAGATAGACCCTTAACCTCCTTTAGCTAAACTCAAAAACAACAACTACAAAAGCTGAGCACGCATATGCCTTTGTGCACATTTAGACCCTTCAGTTGCGCTTGCCATTGAAATGACTCTTGAGAGGCTCCCAGCATTTGTGGTAGTTCTCATCTAGGCACGCTTTTAGGCCCCATTTGGTGACAGCCAAGCTCAAAGAAGTCTCAAACATGAAGCTCTGTGGAAAAGTAAAGAAAAGCACGTGGAGTCATAGAAACATCTGACAGTATTGAATTCATATCAAATTTATACTCAAATTGATTTGGCAACAATTTTATTTATCGCTTTGCTTTTAGAATTTCAACACTTATCTCTGCTGCTCTCTTACAGTTGTGTAAGCCTCATGGTGCAGTGGTTAAACCGCTGTACTGCAGCTAAAACTGTGCTCACGAGCTGGGGTTCAATCCCAGGTAGCGGCTTAAGGTTGACTCAGCCTTCTATCCTTCTGAGGTTGGTAAAATGAGTACCCAGATCGCTGGGGGGGAGGCAATGTGTAGCCTGCATAATTAACTTGTAAACTGCCCAGAGAGTGCTTGAAGCACTATGGGACGGTATATTAGCAGCATGCTTTGCTTTGCTTTGTTGGCTTTGTCTTGCTTTCAGTTGACTCATTTTGTTGTGTTACCTAATATTTTACATTTTTCAGTTGTGTAGCACCCACTGAATACAATTTTAGACAGATGAAATAAAAGTATATTTGCACATATTATGAGCATCTTTTGGTAGAGAAAATAGGATGTGTATTTGGTTAATGACACAATCCACCGTTAGACAAGTTATCTATGGAGTTCAGCAGCTCCATCAGGCTCTGAAGGTATAAGGTTTTATGAAAGATGTTGACTTGTAGTTGGACATGTTGACATACCTAATCTTTGCCTCTGCTCATGCATATAGATCTCCTTGTATTTAGATGTCAACATTTAGATACAGTGGTGCCTCGTTTAGCGAGGTTAATCCATCCCGGACTAACCTTCTCTATAGTGAAACATCGCTGAACGGATCAAAAAAAACCCATTGGAACGCTTTAAACATCGTTTAATGCATTCCAAATGGGCCGAAAACTCACCGTTCAGCGATGCTTCCTATGGCCGGCAGCCATTTTCGCGCCCTCGTTAAGCGAGGGGAGGGCGCGAAAACGCTGCGCACGGCCATTTTGTCTGCCAAACAGCTGATCGTCGGGGCTTCGTTTTGCGAAGATCGGTAAGCAAAGTGAGTTTTGCCCTATCTAAACGTCATTGAGCGATCGCATTAGCGATCCCAAAAAAGGGATCGCTATGCGATTTCGTCGTTGTACGGTGCGCTCGTTAAGCGAGGCACCACTGTATTAATATTCCTAATTATGTGGATTTAAAATTCTGTAGCAAAGGGATATTAAAAAACATTCATTTATACATTTCTTTTTGCAAATCCTATTCTAACATTTGGGCAAAGAGATATAGAAGACATCCGTGTGGATCATTCCTTGGGCAAATCTAGGAGTAAGTCTTGCTACCAATACGTGGGCAAATCTAGGAGTAAGTCTTGCTACCAATACGTGTATGGCTTTCATTTGTTTGTGTTTTGCATCTCCAGCATGAGAGATTTTTTTAAAAACCCTTAAAGGTAAAGGTTCCCCTTGACATTTAGTCCAGTCGTGTCCGACTCTAGGGGGTGGTGCTCATACCTGTCTCCAAGCCGTAGAGCCAGCATTTGTCCATACGGTTTCCGTGGTCACGTGGCAAGCACGACTAGACACGGAACACTGTTACCTTCCCACTGTGGTGGTACCTATTTATCTACTCGCATTTTTATTCCATCACATGGATTCGATCTTACGACTGCAGGTCTGACCTTGCAGCACAGAGGCTTCTGCAGTTTAAACCACAGTACCACGTCTCTTTAAAAAACATACGTAAACAAAAAAAACCCCACACCTTAGCTCTCCCCTAAATTGGCTGCCTCACTTGGATGTCGTGGGTCCTTACCATAGTTCCCTCTGCAATTTTCTCAGCCTTCAGCTTTCCTGTGCTTGCCTTCTCAAAACATTCAGCATCTGGTCCATGGGGTGTCATCATGCTGTGCAGACTGGCCCCTCCAGGTAGAAAGCCCTGCTCCTTTGCCTCGTAAGTCCCTTTGATCAGGCCCATAAACTCACTCATGCAGTTTCCTATGAAAATAACATTCCAAGTCATTCTGCACCTTGCATTTACATTTGACATAGGACTGGGCATATCCGGAATGTTTGGAATTGATAGACAACAGTCTCCAGAAATCTGCAGGAATGCCCCCCACAGCAGATGTCTGGGGGCTTTAGCCAGTAAACAAAACAAAACAAAAATCTCAGTTCTTCCAAGTATCTGTCATCACTTCCAGTTGAGAAACAATAGTTTCTCTCTGACATAATAAAAGTAGAGGAAGGGGCTGCATGAGGCTATGTTCTTTGGGAAGTGCAAGGCATTATGGCTTTGGTAGTCCCTCTGACTATTGTGCTCCATACAGAATGTCTCTTAGGGAAACTCCTAGACCCATAATACCTTGGAGTTACCAGCGAGCTTAGATCCAGCTCCTCTGTCCTCATCAGGTGATTAGAGGCACCTGAAAGGACTTTTTTGTTGTTGTTGGCTAAAGCCTCTAGACATCTGGTGGTGGTGGGGGGAATTCCTGCAGACCTCTGGGGTCTGTAATCCATTAATGCAAATAAATAAATAAATAAATAAACAAACACCCCCCCACACACCCATGCCTATAAGCCACTACAGAGATTCTATGAAATGTGGCATTTCTTAGCACCATTTATGGCAACATTTGTTTAATTAAGCTCTTACAACTCTGTCAGGATGCAGATGTATGCAGAGTATGCAGGATGCCATCTTTTCTGTCTTCTTTAATTACTAATATACTTCCTTATCTCTCATCCTGTCAATTGCCCTTTCCAACAGCTGTCATATATCTGGGTTTGCAACTATTTCTGCTAAATAAGGTCTTTCTTTCTTTCTTTCTTTCTTTCTTTCTTTCTTTCTTTCTTTCTTTCTTTTAGTGGAGCAATGACTTTTTTAAAATGTAATGGAGTACATGACATACATACTGTGGTAATAAGGTGGACGGAAAGTGTTGCTGGCTACTGCCCAGCGGGGTGGGAATATAACAAAATCAGCAATTGCCACACCAGGACGAGCTGACTTTGCAGTCAAAACAGTAAAGATAGAAGGATCCTGCAAAACGGAAAAAGAAGATAAAGCACCCCAAAAAAACAGGTTATTTGAACAGGCACAACTCTCCCCTGAAAGTTGGACTGTATTTTATACGAGCTATAAATTAAAGACCTTTAGTTGGAAAATCTCACTAATTGAATAAAAACTACAAGACCAAAGTGGGCTAACCTCCAGAAATCTTTAGTTATTTTATCTCAAAGCAATTAAAGAACCAGTTGTAATTCCTGTGAGGTTTTTAATTAGGTTGCAATCTCGGTTTTGATTGACAAATCTGGCTTTGGAAAAAAAAAACAACCATCCAGGAAGGAAAGATCTTACCGCATGATCAAATGCCACAGAATTTATGACCATAAAATTGCTGAGATTATACTTGTATGGTGTGTAGTTCCCATGCCAGGCCACAACATTGAATGGAGAGCAGTTCTGTAAAATAAAACAATGCATGTGTCTTGTCCATAGAAAGTATCTGATACATACACCTGTATGTTTTCTAAATGTTTATATTCTTCCTTTGGAGAGAATATCAAAGACTTGTCAAAGAGTTCCAAAGATAAAACAATTTGAACAAAATCCTCTTTCATAGCTCCACAACTTATGGATTGCAGTAATATTATAAAATTAGACATGACAGAATGATAAAATAAGTGCACTGGTCATTATGCAAAAAATATAACTTGCCAGCCTCCAAAAACCCATGGGAACATCAGGTAGAGAAGGTGTCAGAAAATGAGGAGGATCTTGTGGGATTTCCAGATCCATACTAATAAGATATCTTGAACATACAGTGGGGTCTTGACTTGAGAACTTAATCCGTATTGGAAGGCGGTTCTCAAGTCAAAAAGTCTGTAAGTCAAGTCTCCATTGACCTACAGTGCATTGAAAACCGATTAATCCCGTAACAGGCCGTTTTTGTTCCATTTTGGTTTTTTTCTGGTCTGTAAGTCAAATCTCAGTCTGCAAGTCAAACCTAAATTTTGCGGCCAGAGAAGTCTGTAACTCAAAAAGTCTGTAAGTCAAGCCGTCTGTAAGTCAAGGGTCCACTGTAACACACCAGACATAGTAGTACCCCATTTCCCCGAAAATAAGACATAGCCTGAAAATAAACCCTAGTATGATTTTTTTTCAGGATGCTCGTAATATAAGCTCTACTCCCAACATAAGCCCCAATTAAGTGAAACCCCACCCTCCATCATTGTGCAGCAACCAGAAGAAGATATGACTGTAAAATAAAACATCCCCTGAAAATAAGCCCTAATGTGTTCTTTGGAGCAAAAATTAATATAAGCCCCTGTCTTATTTTTGGGGAAACACGGTAACAGAACGAAGAAATGTCTGGATCATTGACATTGCAACTCCAGGGGATGCCAGAGTTGAAAATAAAGAAATGGGAAAACTAAGAGACTATAGAGATCTGGCAATTGAAACATTTTGCTTGTGGACGAAACACACTTCAGTGGTCTCCGTAGTCATTGGGGACTGGGAACAATATCAAGAAATTTCACACAGTATTATAAGCAGTTGCAGACCTCACAAATAACTCCATCAGAGTTACAAAAATGGCAATACATTTAGGAATACATTTAGGAACAGCATACACACTGTGCTGATATTTAGATTTTTGGATAAAACTTGTATCTGTTATATGATACCAGTCAATATTTTAATAATTTTGATTGTCTCTGACTGGTGTTTCTGGACAACATTTGTGTGAATCAAAAATATGAAACAAAGTCAAAAACAGATAAAAACACTGATTTCCAGATGCAGGGGAGGGGTATCAGGAGACAGGTATCTAGTTGTCTCGTGCGCTCCCAGAGGCATCTGACGAGGCCACTGTGAGATACCGGAAGCTGGACTAAATGGGCCTTTGGCCTGATCCAGCAGGGCTCTTCTTATGACTGTTAATATAAAAAATACAGTACAAGTACTAACAAAAATCTAAGTATCAGTTAATTATCAGTGTAATATGTGCAGTAATGTGCAAATGAAAGTGCACCCTCTTTGAATTTTATGGTTTTACATATCAGAACATACCGTATTTTTCACTCCATAAGACGCACCTTTCCCTAAGACACACCAATTTTTTAGGAGAAGAAAACAGGAAAATATAATCTGTTTTCTTCGCTCCATAAGACGCACAGACTTTCCGCCCCCCCCGTTTTGTGGGAAAAATGCGTCTTATGGTGCGAAAAATACGGTAATAAAAATCATCTGGTCCTTAGCAGGTCTGAAAATTAGGTAAATACAATATCAGATGAACAACACATGACATATTACATCATGCCATGATTTATTTTACAAAAATAACTATGCTGTTCCTAATATCATTGTTTTCTGCAGCTCTGGTGGTATTATTTCAAGATCGGCAGTGGATGATACTATTTAAATCCACTGCCACTGTTTTAAATGTAATTGTTTGTCCCACCTAGAATCCTCCTGCTTCAATGAGTGAGCTCATATCAGCACAAAATATATCAGTAAAAGGTCCCACACTTTAAGAAGACTTCAGTAAAATCAATTCATCACTCAAATGCAAATATATTCCAAAAATATATTTTTGCCATCTTGTGGAAGGCCAGAAGAGAACAAATGAGACAGACTTGTGTTAGAAAAAAGTTCTTGATTCTAGGTGCCATCACGGAGAAATCTTGTTTCCCAGGCCCTACCTAGTGCATTTCCTGGCATAAAGGAACACACAGTAAGCACCCCAAGAACAGAGAAATAGGGAAGCAGCCTCATATAGGAAAAATACATTCTTTCAAGTGTTCTCTCTCTTTGCTCAAAGTATTAATGGACTTTAAGATCATCCCAAGTGTTTTAAATTGTGTCTGAACAGCCTGAAGTGGAAGTGTGGTGGTTGTGTCTGCTTTTTGCTTTTGCCAACTATGTAGTGAAATGTCATATTGGGAAATACTTTCATAATTGGTTTTTGGGCTGTAAGAGGTTCACCACTGTTGCTCTGTATGAAAATACTGATTTCCCAACCTGCTGTGCTGCAAAGAGTTTCCCTTGGTACTTGTTGACAACTGTGTAACCCTCAGTTACTTGGCGATCTTCATACCAGGCAACTGGAACAAGGAAATCTCGTGGATTAGCCAAACCATTGGCTCCTAAGAGGCAAATAAACAATAGGTTTTTCTAAGTAGCTGTACATTTGAACACTAGGGATATTCCCTACCCTTGGACACTCTCAAAGAGACTTTATCTGTATTTCAACTAAAATATTCACTACTGCAACATATATTGAGAGTTCATTGTATTAAGCTTCTTGCCTATTATCTACGACTTCTTATAGAATGTGGGGTGTTCAAAGCAACAGAAAAGGTTGCTTAGAACTTTCAAAATTTTGCTCCTAAATTGACATTTTCATGATCTCAATTTCATAATACAGTCTGAAAAGCTGGAGAGCATTTTGGAAATTGTTCTGAGTCATGTGTGCACCACGTTGTCAAAAACAAAAGGGGGTGGGGAAGAGAGAAGACAAACTATTGGTGCACCAGAAAGACTAACAGGTTTATTTCAGTGTGAGTTGTCAGTATGTCATGGATCAAAACCCACTATTTTGATCCACAAAAACTAATACAGATTTTGATCCACAAAATCTCAGAGGGAAGTAATAAAACAAATATAATTCTCCACCAAGGATCTACAGTAGTCTCTTGTTGTCTCTAGCAGGACTATCTAAATCCAGTGTGGATGAAAGAAGGTCAATGGTTGCTACTGTAAGTTAAAAGGTCCTACTGTCCTACTTGGTAAGGCTGTTGTGCATTCTAAGGAAACACAAAGCCTGTGTTTTATTGCTTTGGAAGCAAATCAAAAATAACGTTTAAGGTTCAGGCTTGTTAGTGGGGCTTACTACACACTTCTAAGCCTAAAGGACCTACCTCAGGAAATAAATGTGGTAGTTTTGTGCCCAGAGGGACTCCCTAACCATGATATTTGTCTCTTTAGGGAGACGGTATCATTACAGACATAACATAGCATAAATTTATCATGCGACTGCTTGTGTGAACTGGCCCTCAAATTTGTCATTAATTCTTTATTTTTCTACCTACGTTTTATCCAGAATTGCCCACCTCCAGCCCTGTGCACACAAGAGTTTTGTTGCTATATGACATCTAAGCGTAAGTGGGCAAAACTTCAGAAACTAGCCCACTGGTTTGTGACGTTTCAGCTAGTCCTAGAAGATTAGGTTACCATTCGTTTTGAAAGTAATATTAATATTTACCAATAGGACCAAGGTCAGGCAGCTCAAAATGTACGCCATATATTTCCAGGATATACCCTCGGGTTTCCCCAAACACGTCCACGCTAAAACGCATCCCTTGCTGGGAACAAAGAGGGCACAGAAATTAATCCTGAGGTAAAGCGTTGACAGGTTCTTCACTCCAGTGACCATGGAGACATTGAAGCCTTCCTGATAATCAGGTGGAAGCCCAATGCAACTTGCCCAACATGACTAATCCATGTAGCTGAACTGCACGCATGTTGTAAGAAGGTTGGCTTTATCTCCAAGGACGTCTGGGAAGTCTGAAAACTTTGGGTCCCTTGTTGGGATAAATGCGGCATATTAATCATCATCATCATCATCATCATCATCATCATCATCATCATAGTCTCTAAGTCCACTGGAATTCCCTTCAGTTAAGAGTTATAACCCAGTATTAGAGCTCTTGGTCTATAAACAGCAGGTCTTAAGTTCAACCCTCTAGCATCTCTACACAAGGCTGGGAAACAGCCACGGTACAGCCACTGCCAGTCAGTATACATGACGCTGAGATATGCGGGCCATGTCCTGAATAAGAAATTTACTGTATAAATCAGATTTATACACTGTTTAATTCCATATCACCAGCTTAGCTGAGCCACAAGCATAGAAAGAAACCAGAGACAAGAACCTAAACTTGCAAAGCTCTTGTTATAAGAGTATTTATTTGTTTATTTATTTATTTGTTTGTTTGTTTGTTTGTTTGTTTATTTATTTATTTATTTATTTATTTATTTATATCCCGCCTGTCTAGCCAACTAAGACCCCTCTAGGCGGCTTACAACATAAAAATACACAATAAAAGTATATATAAGACAATTTTTACAGAGTAAAACATACCAAGAAGATAGAGCAAGCAATAAAGGAAGGGGAAAAAAGGGAAGATCAGGGATTGACTGGAGGAAAGGCCTGCCGGAACATCCATGTTTTTAGGTGATTTTTAAAGATCCCCAGCGAGGGGGCCTCACGAATCTCAGGATGAAGGTTGTTCCAGAGGCGAGGAGCCACCGCCAAGAAGGCCCGATTTCTTGTCTTTTCCTTCCGGGCCTCCCTCGGCATTAGGCTCCTCAGCCTCACCTCCTGGCTCGCACAAGTGACACGGGTAGTTTGTCTCATCAAGATGAAAACATGCTGACCTAGTTAAAGAAGGAATTTGTACCACTCACTCCTAGATAAGCTTCCTGTCCCTTGGAGAAATGAGTGGCCATTGCCTTCCAGTCCTCCCTATCAATTTCAGGGCTGGGAGGCTAGACTGCAAAGACACTGGCTTGCCAGATCATTGTAATCCATTGTGTGAAAATAAGGCAAGCATTACAACACTGAACACTTACCCAGCATCTCCACTCCACTATAGGGAGTAAGAAGTACTGTCAGAACCACAGATACAAAAATTTAGAAGAGAGAGAGAGAGTCCGTCTTCTGTCTGTGTACGCACATACACATAAACACACAAAGACATCATTTTGTCTTATGGTGATAAAGCAGGCCACTATTCATTTAGGGATGCCTTCATGGTGGGTGGAAGGGACCAGTCTCACCCTCCAAATTTGGCATCCTGGGTCAAATCCAAGGTGCCCTACTCTAGTTATAGCCCTGGTTATTGAATAGGGTCTGCTATGGTTCTGGTACAATAAAGTCTTGATGGCATTAATGTTTGGATGAGAAGGTGACGGCAGAAAGGGAATTATTGGTTTCATTAGGTTTCAGGCCTTACCTGAATGACACAAATTTCATTGGGCTCCACCAATAATCTGCCAAACTCTGTTGTGATGAGAAGTTTTCCTTGCTGTGGTACTAAGGAAAGGAAACACAAACTTATCCAGTAAATGACTGAAGTACATTTCCTGCTATGTTTTCCATATAACTTGTCCTCTCCTTTTTTACATCTTTCTGTGACCACATTGCTTATAATTTTTTGAAACTGTTTTAAACAGTTTGCACTGATTACTAGTGTGCCTTGCTTATTAGTACAACATTTAGTTTGTCAAATTTTAAAAACTAAATAGTAGGAAGGACAGTGAAACCTTCCATTTTCTGAGTTAGGAATAATTTACTATTTTTAAAAATTTTTAATCCCCTTTTAAAATTTGCCTTTGTTAAGTTGAGGGTTTCATCACAACCTCCCATTAGATGTCCTTGCATCTAGTTCCTATAAGCAACCGACACCTGTCAAGATAAGGAAACACAAATAGGAAAGCAGAATAACCAGTAGCCAAGAAACAGAGGACAAACCCTAAGAGAAAGGGTGGGTCACATGGAGGTCAGATCCATACCTGGCTGTTTTTGCAGCCTGATTAGCTCTCAACTCCATTTGTTGCTGCACTGCTAACTTTTTAGGAGCACAACACTGCCAGATAAATACGATTTCCTTTGAAAACGAGGTACTGCATGCTGGTACTGTGCTTCCTGTTTTAGAGCAAATTCCTAAAAGTCTCGTAATATGCAGGATGGGTACAATCAACATTGCTTTCAGTGGAGATAGGATGTGAGAGGAGCTAGATTTCAGGAATCATTACAACATTTAACAAAAAAAAAGTATTTGTCAAATGCATTGTTTCAAGCATCCTAATATTTGGGAAGATTCCCTCTCTAGGGTTTTAGCTATTGCTATTTGTTCCTGCCTTTCTCTGTTATGTGGCAATTGGCTTATTTTACTTAGCTGTTCAGAACAATTATACTAAAAACTTCCTGCCATTTGTCTGATCTAGAACAGTTTGCTGACTTTTGTTACTTCTTTGCAACACACAGTGATGTTGGTGGGGTAGGTGGATGGCATTCTTATTCAGATAGCAGTCTCCACCTATTCATGCATAAGAAGATCAGAGCCTTTAATGAATATGTAGGTTGAATGATACATATAGGGGCCCTGGCCTAGAAGAGCAGAGTAGGGTTGGTGGTGTTATCAAGCAACATAGAGCTATTATTTCATTATTGTCTAAATTCATAACTGTCACAAGACTTCAAAATGTTGCTGGATAAGATAAAACCAACAGTGCCAAAATTCTGTGGTGATAAATACTAGACTGGCAACTCACCAATCAGAAAGTCCCCGTCAGAATTATAAAAACATCTGTGGAGGGAAAAAAAACGCCAAGATATTGACCAACTTAACAGAATATTGGGGATGTATAATACATAACATCAGCCCTAAACTCAGAAACATACACAGCCTTTGTAATCTGCCCCACATAAGGTTCTCTTTTTCTGGTGTTGAAGCAATACCTCTCCCCCCTCCCAACTCCCTGGCTGCACAAAATCTAAAAGTATGTTGTAATGAACCTGTCAGGAGGGGGAGAGTGTATATATGAAACACTCATATATACACAAAGAAACCTCGTGCTAGGTCTGAAACAACACTGCAAGCAAGAAGACCTGGAGATCCAAGCTTGGGAACTACTGGTGTATACCAACGACTTCTACCATGGGTGGTACCATAGTAGATGGGCCCAGTCTGAGTGGATTGTCTTTATTATCTGCAGGAAATGGGTCAGTAGATCATTTATGGAACTGAAACAGCTTGGCTGGCCCCATCGAAGGTAAGTCTGTAATGGCTGTTTGCCCCAATTGGCTGGAGATATAAATGCTCTCACTTGTTATTATCCTATTTAGAGTAAACACTTTCTCTATTCCTAGCCTCATTGTGGGGAATCTTTACCCAGGTCAAGCTGAAAGAGATGTTCTGTTGCCATTGGGGGGAAGGTCAACATGCAAGCACTGTGACATAGAGACAAGACAGTTAGTCATTTCCTAGAGGAATGGTTTAGCGAAGTAACACTATAGTACCCCAATAGCAGCAACAAAGCCTATTGTTAAAACCAATGTCACAGAGCTGTGATTTTCAACTCCCTAGGGGATGCACAGGTATCTCCAGTGAAGACAAAATGGAGGCCTCTTGTTTTTCTGACAAAATGAAGGCATCTGTTTTTCTGACAAAATGAAGGCATTTTGTTTTGGGGGGCAGGCCGTTTACAGGACACTCGACTAGCATGGCAAGGTAATGGCAACCTACCTCCCCCCTGCTTTGTAACACCAGTGTGTGACTGAGATGCCACATTCCCACACTACCAGGAAGAGGACGCACCATTAATCCAGTAATGGAACAGTGGTAGGGAAAAGACCTCATGAATAAACAAGAGGGAAAGTGTATACATCTCGTTATATTTACAATCAGTAGCAATAGAATCAAATCTCACGGTGAAAAGGGAGGAGATCTACTCTTCTGGAAAGGTAGGAGACAAATTGCACCAGGCACCAGTAGCCATGAGAATGCCGGAGAGCAAGGATGATGAGTGTGCAATAGAGAGTGATGCCCACCGCTGTGCCAGCATCATTCAAATCACAATGAAATGATGCCTTGTGGGAGTGAAATCGAAACGGAGAGAAAGGGAACATATCCTTGCAGTTTTACTTGCCACTTTTATACGAATAAGAAAGAACAGTGCTTCACCTTAAATTGCTGCACAGGATATACAGTATTGTGATACTGTGTGCTTTGTTTACATCACCCAAATGGCATTCCCAAACAGCATCCTGGATTGTGACACAGACCCTATTTGGGTCCTACCCCCCACCCCATGACTAACTGCTATGGTTTACCTACTGGATACTAAACCAAGACAACTTGGAGTGATTTTTTTAATTACCGTAAATCATTTAGGTCATACTCTATATGGACCCTGAACATCTCAAGTAATAGTCAGAAACAGTGGTATCAATGTTTTCACGAGGCTTTGACCTTTTGAGAGGAAATTGGATGGAACAAGCTGAGCACATGCTGAAAATAATCTGCTAGCTCTCTTGCTTTTCATTTTTGTGAAATACACACACTCTCAGATTGCTTCAATGACACTTAAAACAATTGCAGTCATGAGTGAATGTGGAGGGTGAGGGGATGAAGACAGATTTGCCCGACAATTACTCAGTGGTCAGTCATGATACCTTCTGTCTCCTACTATTCACAAATTGCAGCAAACTTATTGATCGTAGCAGCCAAAGCTGTATGCAGAACCCACGGGACCCTTGCTTCCCCATGCGTGACCCACAAACCTGTTGATCATGGATGTGTTACAGGTGAAGACATGGATTGCAAGCCCATTCCGAGACCTGGGCTCCCCTGCACCACACAAAGTGTGCAATCCCTATGATAAGAAGCACCCAAAGTTAGAATATAGAGCAGTCACCTTCACAGGAATCTTTTTAGTTGGTCAGTTTCACCCTATTCTCTTACCCTTACAGAAATGAGTTACTGTTGTTTGTTTTCAATTGATACAGGGACTTCAAAAGCCATATCTATTTGAGTACAGAGGTGATGCAAGAACATAAAGTATCTCTAAAACCTATTACAGCTGTAAGGGCGAGCATTGCATACCAACAACCCAGAGTAGAGTTAGCTACAATAATATTGGCACATTTAATTTCCCTATCTGACAAAGAAAAGAATGTGATGTCTGTTATAGTATTCTACAGAGGCATGAAGAGAAGAACAGGAGTGGAGCCACTGGCAGTACCACACAGACCCCTGACACTTCAGACTATGTATTTTTCCACACACTCATAGGTGTGTTGGAATGAGTGGCTATGGGGCTGACACAGATTAAAAGCCAGTGTTGATCCTTCGGTTATTTTTCTCTTCATCTCAGTCTGTCTAGTTCTTTCAGATGTATGGGTCCAGAGGGTATATGGGTTTAAATTCACTTACATACAACAAATCAGTGTGATCTGTGGCAAATTGTCTCAAACTCCTCAGCTTCACAGGGAGCAGCACCAAATATACAGCAAGAAACTCTTGAACACTGCTTTTTTTAAACTTACATTTATAAAGTCCAGCTTTCTCTGAGAGGTTGGTGGTATCTCAAAAGGCTTCCATCTCAGCTAAAATGAAAACAGACATATTTTAAAAAACATAAAAAGAATATTTAGAAAATTTTAAAAATATTTTTAAAAATATAAACATTATATTTAAAAATATATAAATATATATATATATATAATTATTTAAAAATATATTAGGTTATTGAAAAAAGAACAGATATTTTATACCCCACTCTATAGCCAGGATGGTTTATTTGTTTTCTTCTTGCAACTTTAGTATGTAAGATGTAGTGATATGATACCTCATGTATATAGAAATGTGAGATGCATATTATATATTTCTCCATCTTACCCTCTTATTGCTAAAGTCTGGTATCAGATGCTAATCATGTACTTCTTCATCTGTGTTTCTGTGTCTAAATAAATTTTACAATGATTCAAAATCTGTTTTTTTTTTCAGATACAGTTTAATTTAACATAAGTTTATTGGTAGTCCTTAGTGGGAGCTATGGTATGGTAGAGTGTACAGTATAGAGGTGAATTTGTATCTGTTACATAACAGCACTGATGTTACCTGTCTGTCATGGGTTTGGAGGGAAAGTTCCATCCTATGGGGAGTGGAAGGCGGGACATCAGGAGGAGGGGCTGTACTGTATAAATATGTGATGCCTGTGTGGTGAAGGGAGATGCTGAGACAGACTGTGAGACACTGGGTTGGGACGAAGCAGCAGCTGGGGAAGAAGAAGCTGTTGTGGGAGTCTGGGTGTCTGACAGGGTACTACTGTGTGTCAGAGTACCAACCTGATAAGTTCAGGTGTCTGTGGGTTAGCCAGAACTGATGGGTTCAGGGTCTGTGCTTTAAGTTAAAGGTTCTAGGTGAACCAAACTGTATGCTTGTGTGTGTGAGAATAAGCCACGTTACTTTATCTATTCACCTGATTGTTTTATTTACCCTGTTTGTATTTAAAATAAACCTTATTCTTTTTATTGTTTAAAAATCCATCCCTGGTCTGTGTGACTTCTTAAAGGGAATGGTTGGTGGCAGCTTAGTGTAACTGTGTGGCAGATCCCAGTAGGTCTGGGTTTGTCACATTGATTGGTGTCCAGCGTGTGGGATACGACTGGTCCAGTTGTCCAGTGGTCCAGCAAAGCCTTGGCAAGTGTGCCCAGAGCAAGGGGGGTCTAGTCAGGGACAGTCTGAGGCGCGTAGGTAATCTTCTAGGTGTACCTCACGGGGAGGTGCGCTAGTAGAAGAACGTGCCAACTGGGGAGACTTAGATTAAGGTGCTCAGAGGCAGCATAGTTTTGGCGGGAAAAAGCTGAGGCAAAACTGCGTAGTAACAGTGAGCTAGCTTGCCAGCTGAGAGGCCCAGCAGAGGGGGGTAGACTCAAACTCGCTACTGTTGCAAGTTAAGTGCTGAAGAACAGCAGCAATCTATAGAAAGCTGGTTCTGAGGCAAAAGAGGAAAAAAGTGGTCGTTTTATTTTGAGGCTTGACTTTTTAAAGCAGCCTGTTCTGAGGGGAGATTATGCCCTTGACTCGAAGCCAAATGGCAGAAATGGGTGAAGTGAAAGACCCCCAGGTAGACCAAGGTTCTGAGGATGAATTTGGCTCAGTGCAAGGTGACAGCACAGGAGAGCA